GTCTCCGTAACTAAAATTCCTGGAGTCGAAGTGGTGGCAACTATCGCCAATCAATTACCACCGTTCCTATAGAATTGGGACTGAGGTGGGTTGCGAGGTCAAAAGCCATTTTCAGCCCATCTGTCCCCTCCTTCCGTAACCCTAAGATTTATCTGTATGTACGGCTTCTAAGCCTTACGGCATGGCGGGCAGGTGTACAGCGCTCGTGCCCTTAACGATCGCCAAACCAAATTAAGCTACTTTTGCAGGCAAAAGAGTGGACATTAGTCAGGCACTCCGATGAGAAACGCATTTATTGAAACTCGATCACCCTCTTCATTGCTTCAAAGTGCTCTCCACACTTTAAAGCCACTATTTCTTATCCCTCTCGGAACTCATAATAACACAACTTGTAGAAGTCTGTATCTCAAACAGTAGATTTAAGGAGTTATGTTAAGAATGTAATGGCATTTGTGTATTAGGCTGTGTAACCACACTTTTCGCATTCCCTTCCAAGTAAGCGTTTTGTAAGGGTTGAATCACGCCATTACTGAAGGGGGGCAACATTTGATCATCCGCATGTTTTTTTGCGTCACACTGACTGGTGGACAGACCAAAGCTCCATCAACAACAGCGTACGCACTTTCAATCACAGGCGCATACTTATTGCAATGATCTTTTCCCCTTACTCAAGGTCTGCTAACGGCGAAAGTATTAAACCAATTTTACGCAAAAGATTTCTGCGTCACTGTAAAGAAAACAATAGAAAGCATTGGTGCCCAAAGTGGACAGTCCTTTATGCCCTAAGAATGCGCAATCAAATGCGCTGGGTTGTAGTCAGCGTTGGCCACTGACTGGAATACAGGAGACCCATGATTGTTCGGACTTAAGAGTCTATGCTAAAGCTACCTGGGTGGACGTGACCCTCCTCTTTGAGGTTCCTTTAAAGCTGCAGATGACGACAAGAGCACAAGTGAGTTGGCAATGATCCTGATCCAATGGCTATCGTCCGTAATGGCTTAAAATTGTTTTTCTCACCACCAAATAAAATGGAAGTGAAGAAGTAATGAGGTTGCTTTTCTGAACTTCAGTGTATTACTTCTCAGACGATTAAATTACGCCCAAATTCACAATCAATTGCTCTGATGGGCGTTTTTTGGTACGTTTTTGTACCAAATTTACCAAATACACACACTTAACTAAATTCACTTTTAAATACCGTGGTAGCTAAAAGCTACATTTTACCTTTACCAGAGGCAATTATTTAGTCAGAGAGTCTGGGAACCCAGAACTGGGTGCGAATAATGGGGAGAAGATGCTAATTGTCACCACTTCACTGGATAAACTCAGGAATATACAAAGCCAATTAGTAGACCCACGGTCGGTATGAAGGAAAAAGAATAGGGGCGGTTTGAGGCAGCTTTCTTGTGGGTGCAATTAGGCACAAACAGTCGGTGTTATACGCACGCGCGCACACCCACTCACCTAAGCACCAATAGAGTGGAAGATGTATGGTTTTTGGCACTCCACTGTTGCCCTACCCCACCTCTGCTTCTCCCCTCCTTCCTCCGCCGTTGCCGCCGCCGCGGTCCTCCCTCTCCCCCTCTCTCTATCTTGGCTAGTCGCACTGGGCCCTAACAGACCGACCACGCGGGGGATGACAGGTGGCAGGCAGGTTTTGTGTCACTGTGTGGGTGTTTATGACAGGCGGCATGCACGCTAGCGCCTAGCGTGCCCTAAGTCCAAGTGGTGGCGGTGAGCACCAGACGACAGGCAAGCCAGGCTTGTCACTAACCACAAGTAAGGAGAGGACAAGGGAGAAGAGAGAGGGAGGAAGCTAATGGTTTCCCCGTTACAGCACCTTTTCAACCTTTTTGAACAGAGCGCGTACACCCACACTCACATACAGGTAGAGGGGAAGAGGGACTAGCGCAATAACGGTTGACAGTTGACTTTACCGGAAGAATGTTACACCTTTTAAGTGGAAAAAAGAAAGCCCATGAGGTCTAAGCTAACCTTCACGCAAATACAATGTGAATGAAGAGTAGAATTGCTTCAAACCAGGGGTCTGAAGGGAGCAATGGCATTCCCGTCTCTTTCTTCGATTGTCTTAAACCAATTCGCAAGACAGATTTTACTGTTTTCATAATGAACTACCGATGATTCCAAGCACTGCCTTCTAAAGCAGTGTGCAAAGGCTGAAGCCATAACAATGGCTAAAATTAATCTAAAATGATATTCCATTGTATGAGATGCATTTAGTTTAAACCAGGCATGCCAACGTCGCAACTCCTTGTGATGCTACTTTTCAGAATGGTTCCTCCGAGGACTTAACTTACCTTCATATCCCCGTTCCGCATCTTTTCTTTCCGTGATTCCACAATCTTGTTTTGTTTTTCAGTAATCTAGTATCCCATCTGCAACCTGTAGCAGATGTATTTTAAAGCCTACATTAAATACAACACTTACACTAAATCAGGCTGGTAACGTGTCAGCCTCAATTTTTACTGCTAACGCGCGTGAGTAATAGCATCCACGGGCCAGTTCCCAAAGGGACTCATGCACACACGCACACGTGCACACAGTGCTTGGGTCCAGCAGGTCGTCTGCATGCCTCACTCCACTACCTCCACCACTGCCCTTCCTCTCAGTAGTGCTCGAAGCGCAGATGACGCTCCTCACGGACTCGTTTCTGCTGCCTTCCTGCCTGGCGAGTGTCACGTGTGCGTGCGTATGTGAGCGCGCGTGCGTACCCTCACACCGACCGACCGACCGACAGACCACAACTCGGTCGCACGTGCGCATTAGACTCGCTCGCGCTTGCGCCTCGAAATCGGTCAATCGATCGATAGGGCCTCTCCCGCCCTTGCCCACCGCCTTCCTCCGCCTGCTCCAGCTCTCGCTCACGCGTTCTCGAGTTGCGTACGTGCGTGTGGGCGCTTTTTCCTCTGCTCTCCCTTCAGATGGATGGATGCCCGCCTCACCACTACTGATGCCTGGTGCCTGGAATGTACTCTTATCCATCACGAGCACTCCTCTATTGCAAGAACCAATAATGGGTAATTTAAATTCCGGCTTTAATGATTGTGGTTCTTTTTTTAAACAATGGATGCTTGTTAGAAATGCAGAAACGAAAAGAACTGATGTGATTAAAGTGTAGAGTTAACGTTCTTATCAAAGAGAGGTAAGCTCAATTATGTTTAGGACACTAAAAATCTTCATTCAGCTAGAGTAGCAGCCTATTTTCCGTAGGTTAATCAAAGTGATTTAGCACCAGCATACCTCTTTTACCCTCCAACTCCCCTCCCCCCAATAACAGTGATACATCAGTTTATTTGCATTCATTCAAGGCCTCCGGCTCTGACAATCAAAACTAGGAGGTTGGTTGCATTAATGGAGTGCAAAAAGAGCCTTGAGACTGACGAAGCGATATCCCCTTGTCCAGGGGAACTACCCTTATTTGGCATTGTTAGCTCCTTTGCCTCAATTTTTGTGAAAATTTGGACCGTCATCTTGATAAAAGTCAAGTTCACAAGTAACATTGATAATCCAGAATGGCAAAACCTAAATAGAATTAAAAAAGTCAACTTTTTAAGAAATTGTGGTTGAAGCATAGGCCTACTCGCTTCAGAATCTAGGCAGTGCTTCAGCTTGCAGTAGAAGATATTTACTTAATTATTGAACCGTTGAGGAGAAAGTTGCCAAGTGATCGTTTTATCAAAAGCCTTTTTTGATTATTAGCCCAATCTGGTAGTTTTTTTCAACAAGCAGCGCATCATCAGATGTAGGAGTTACCACAACATTCGGCAGAGGTTGGATCATTAGACCTGAGCTACGCACCACCAACCGACTGACCGGTAGACCAAACTCGCTTGCTCACTCCCTGTCCGTGATTAAACTCAAAGGGAGTCGTACACGCGTGAGGCCGCTTCCATCCCCGCCGCCGCCGTCTCCTCCTCCAGTCCCATCCCCACCGCCACACCGCACTCGCCACGCGCACAAAGAATCCCTGGCATGAACGCACTACCGCACGTATATGTGCGTATGTGCGTGGGCAGGTTCACGTGTAAGCGCACGTGCCTACTTCTACAAACCCAGACGATCACCGCTCACACCGTCATGCCTCGGCCTTCTCCCTTCCACTGGAGGGGGCGGGCACGTCCCTCTCTCTTTCGCTCATTCTCTGGCTCCCAATTCACGATCGATACAGGGCCTCTTCTTCTTACGTCTCCTCATCCTCCTCCTGCGCCTCCTCTGCTTGCTCAGTTGCGCGCGCAGCAGTGCTTGCGTTCGAGCTGGAGGCACGCGCGGCCAATGCAGATCGCCAGGGGGTTTACCTCTGCGTGGTCTACGTTGTGTATAGGCGGCGTTCACTTGATTAATGACAGCTAGCACAAGTCAGCGTCTGCTACACTAGCGCATTTGGATCCCCACTCCGATCTCTGTTTCCTTCTATTCAGGCCTGAAGCGGAGGCCGATAGCATTATGTTTACGCATTAAAAAAGTCAATGTCATGCCAACAAATGGGCCAAATCAAATTTGACAAGTATTTATAAATACAAAATTGATTACCATCCCACCTCTGAGGGTTTGGCTATGTCTATGCTATATAATTCCATACAAGCAATGAATGGCTTATGGTTGACGATACATTCGTAGAATCGCAAGTGGTTAAGGAATAGAATTGCCCTTGTCCTGAGGATGACTCAAACCGAAGGCGTTGCAGATCGCTGAGGATTTTACTATTTCTTATCCAATGTCTGATAAAAAAAAACAGCTTGTACAAAGTGGAAAATTTTATCTAGGCAGAGTTTTTAAGCAAGAATGACTTGGGCGTCAGACCTTCCGCTTAATCCGCCGCGTTTTATCAACCCACATCAGAATGGTCACTGTGCTCTAGACACCCTTAGGCGTTAAAGCCCCTTCCTCCATCTTCTATGCATGTACAGAGCCGGAGCGAACCGGGGTGTCGCTCATGTAATTAAATAAATCGGGTTTAATTAACCATTCACTATGGTAACGAACAATGTGGTAAAGGTGGTGGACACAATAGCAGAAGTGGGACACAGAATAGCGAAGTGGCGGCAACAGCGGCGTCCCTACTGTCTCCCAATTACTGTGGTCGCCATCTCCTTCCTCTCCTCCCCCTAACCACCTTCTCACCTTTTATTTGGTCTCCACCATCCCGCGATCTGGGCCTCTAATTAAGGAGTCTGACCAACACCATCAAGGTGCATCGGGGAGAGGGGATTGAAGTAGAAAGGGCGAGTGGAAAATCATTGGACTTGTCACACATATTTGTTGCTGTGGGAACGCCCAGTCTATGTGAAATCCACGCCGGAATGGGGTAGCAACTGTTATAACCTAACCAGAGGTCTCCAACCCTTCCAATCACCTCATTAACCCCACTCCACTTCAGTTCCAAAGTAGTTCATGGTGAGAATAAAGAAAAGGCGGACTTGAAGCGACAGCAGTTTGTTAATTTCATACGTTTGAGCTCAAAGTTGTCTCATCCGAGACTCGGTAATTAATGGATGAGATTACTCACATCCACAATTCAGGTCGGTGATTCACTAATGTTCCTACTATTTCTCTATCATATTCAAATTCAATGCATTAATTAGCCTAATTTTTATGCAACAAAGCAAACAATACAGTTGTTTATAAATGGACCTTATTTCAATTTCGGGCACATTTGACATAGGCCTCATTTGGAGATTTTCATTGCGGCTGTCAAATCCATCTCTCTTCACAATGTGGAGACAATTTATGGGTCGGTGGAAGCGAATTTACCAGACACTTTGGCCCACCCCCGTATTAAACATTCAGTAAACGACGATCTGAGATTGCACGAAACCTCCACCCCAAGAGACGAGTTTATCTGCTCACTCGTTCGAACCAATGCCGCTTTTAGTCGCTCAAACAGGGATATCAGGTCTGCTCACCGTAAATCCTAACTCACCGTCCTTCATTTTGGCCAGGCAAAGAGAACGAAATTATTAGATTTGCGTCTAAACGCAGCATTGCACTTCCTTCAAAGCATTTGTGCTGACGGAAGTCGGGTTAATAGGGCATGAGAATTCCGCTTGCATGCATCAAGGCTCGTTAATTCGCCTCCAAAGCCCAAACGGTCCCAAGTAAATGTAGTGTCTCCTCAATCTCCACTTTGCCTGGCTTACGTTCGTCTTCACAGGAGACCGTGTTTGAGATACTAATAGTGTTGGTCTTCAACAGCGTTGGAAGCGTTGGCGGTTCAGTTGTCCTCTGGACTGAACGCAGACTGTACAGTTCCTGTACTGCAAATAACACGATAGGGTAAACAAGTAATGAATTTGGGTTTTGGAAGGCCTCGAAACCTAGGCCTCACCTAATCACCACCAAAGGAAATGGAGTCCAGCACCGCAGTTGGATCACCACTAAAGGTCTGTTGGACAGTGACCCAAGTTCAGTATATCCACTTGGCACCAAAATCTCGCTTCGTCTCATTTTTCATCCACCTTCGACGCACTAAGATTAGCCAAGTTGAAATGACGACGACTCAAGGTAGCGCCGCGCTTTAGCCCCTCAAACGCTCCGTACACGAGAAGGCAACCCACTTTTCAATCAAGGCGGCTATTTTAGGATAACCTCAATATTGGTTGTCGGGCGGGTGAATGACACTTAGAATTGCCTTTAGCAAAGAGATTAGTTATTTTGTACTTATGCTACGTGTGAAGAGATTGGTCCGCATTTCCCACTTAATCGTTTCCTAGCTATGGCCCCGATGTCTGCGATGGTTAGTTGAGCGCAGTAAAACTGGTTGGGTTTTATTTAAGGAGGCAAAACATGCAATTATCTGATAGGCCTCTTCACCAAAATGAGTAATGTTGGGATGACTGAAGCCTATTTCCTCTCTAATCACATCTCAGGCACCCATGTTTCCACCAGCCAACGAAGGTAGGAAAGATCAGTTGCCCTGATAATGCAAGCCCACAACCATGAATTTCATACTTTCCGTCAGCAAAGTTGTAAACCTGTTTCCGTTTTCAACTAAGTAAAATATAACAGTGGAAACAACATGAGTGGCCAAAATTCGATCTCGGGACGTTGGGTATCACAAATTGTAGCGTTATTTCAGGTCGTGCTAAGGGTTTGAGGGCTAACCACAATTGAGGCGTTGAGCCATCGTTCCACCATCTCCTCTAGACGGTCTGTTGACTTAATGGCATTGATTCTGACCTTAATTAATAGGTCTGAGGTCATGTGCCCGCGTGGAAAGGACAACGGAACAGAGGAAGGTAGACGAGAGGGGTGGGAGATGGAGTGGGCCAACGAATGCTCAAAGGGGAGGTGAGTGGATGAGATGCGACGACCCTGCGAATTGCCCATGGGATTTAAGCACTGAGTCAGCAAAGACGTGGGATAGTAATCAATAGGTCTGCGTGAATCTCCTCCTCCGCCTCCTTCTTCTCTTTCTCTTTCTTCTTCTAATTCTTCTACTGTGGCTTATTTTCGGGACTGACATCACAGCATGAGTCAGACTCGGAGTTTCAAGAGTTTCGTAACACTCACGAAGGGAAGGGATGTGGCTGTGACTCGGCTTGTTTTTATTAAATAAGTGGAGATTATGGATGGGAAGGCGGTGGGAGAGATTGATTGGTCATGCTGAATGGTGGCTGTGTCGTGTTTTGCCTTGAGTAGGCAGTGCTTTGGTTAAATCGCTTAGCAGTCGGTTTGTAGTTACTTTTTCACTGCGGAAACAGACAGGCAATCGGGTCCGAAATGCAAAACTTTTTTACAGCATATTTTGAATCAGAGAAGCGGGCGGTCAGTTGAAAGGCTGTAGTAGGCTCGGATGTACATGTGCCTCATGGTAGGCGTTCTAAGGAGGAATCGTAAAACTCAGGGTACGACGGCAGTGCTGTTTCCAACCAAAGTCCTTCGCCTTAGAGAGACGGATGTGTAAGTCTTCAGAGGCAATTCATCCGATACCAACCCTGATCCCAGGCAAACAAGTGTCGAATATGAGAATGAACATTCCACACAATCTGTGTTTGCATCAACAACTTTCATAGAGCTCAAACATCTTCAAAGGAGCCATTAACCTTTTTCACCATTCATTTACATCACGTTCCCATTGGAATGGGTTTAGTCACAATTGCAAAAAAAATTGTGCAATTCAAAGGCAATTTACGGTGTTTTTTAAGGTCTTGACAGAAGATTTATTTTTGGACACAACAAACGAGCTTTAGTACACGTCAGCAGCTGTGAGCACTCATGGGCTATCGTCTGGCTATCGCAGTCACCATATCCAAGAAAAGAATGTGAGTGGACCAATGCTAAATTGAATCTCGTGCACAGCCCTTTGTTATCAGAGTGATGCCATCTTGGTAATCTAAGTAGCTCAAGGTTTTGCGGTAATGCAAAGTTTCTTTAGGAGACGCCCAATATAATTGTACCACTTGGTGCATGTTGAGGCCTTCTTTACTAAGGGACCACTAGAAAGGAGGGATGCGACATCGACGTACATTCGATGCCGTGATGAGTCAACATTGCAGTGCTAATGTAGGCCTCGACAGAGCGATGGGGCTGGCGAGGGATAGACAGCAAAAACGGGAGGGAGGTAGGGTAAACAGAGCAGCAGCAGTAGCAGTCAGCAAAGCAGCAAAAGGGGAGCGCGAACTCTACCGGCGCTGTGTATGCGTGTGTGTGTGTTGTGTGTTGGCCTCCTGTGAGTGGCCAGGCCTCAGACGACGCACAAACACACGTGCGCACCACCGATAGTGGTGTCCGGACTTGCTCGCAGCCAGTGCGCGCGCATGCGTGCGCGTGTGAGGGAGAGGACAGGGCTGAGGGAGGAGGGGGAGAGGAGGGGAGATGGGGGAGAGAGGACGAGGCGGAGGCGAAGAAGGGAAGGAGATACAGTAGAAGAGAGACGCAGAGCCTGGGTCGACGCGAGAGCGCACACTCATACGCACCCAAACGCACACAACACAGTTGCTCAAATCAGGCGCTATCAAACGGTGTGTGAGGATGCCCCAGTGCTGTTTCGCGGGTTGTCACAATCGAACGGACGATGGTCGAGGTCTGAGTTTTTTTCGCTTTCCTCGACGCGATCTGGCAAGAACAGCCGCTTGGGTGGTAGCTTGCGGGAGGAAAGACTTCAGTCCCTCTCAACACTCTCGTGTATGTTCACGCCACTTCTCTGCGGTCGACTTCGATCGCGATGCTCGACACGACTCGCATGGGGGTGTCCACCGAAGGCTGAGACTTAAGGATACTGCTGTGCCTACAACCAATCCCATTGACAATCCGTGGCAAAATACGGATAATATGGCCAGCCGAAAGTCACAGAAGTCCGTCAGCACAACGACCATCGCAGCATCAACGACAATGAAACCGAACGGTGTTGTGGAAGTACCTACTCCGAGTAAGTTAGCATCCGCTTCACTATTGTTCATTATTATTCATGCCACAAAGTAGGCGTTACTCGTTGGCTCTCCCTCCCTTCAATCTACTTAATAGAATTAATATCGCACATTAATTCGCCTCAAAATTACGGTCTTACGAAAATGATTGCTTATGCCATTTAGCCAAATTAGAGCTGTCAAGTAGTGGGACCAGGACTTCAGTCAAAAGGAAATTACAATCATATATTTACATAAACTAGCTACAATCAGTGTTTCGACTACAAAGCAAAAATGCGATCAGCTGGTGGAGCAAATAAGCACGTTTAGCCAACAGCTCACCGTGAGTATCATCTTGCATTAAATTAGAAAATGCGCAATGAACATTCGTTCTAACGACAGATGCGGAACAGTGGGTTGAATTTAAGTTGCTCTCATTTGCTAAACAAAAGAGGCGAAGTTCAGTTCTCCTCCGGAGCCTATGTCGTTCAGGAAGTGGCCCTAAAAAAACCCATTTAGTTGGAACTGTGAGTGTGTCCTAAACGCATGCGACCTAATGAAATGCGTTTGAAAAGCTCGTGGCTGTGGTGGACAGATGCTCAGAGCTCTTTCACCACATTACGGTCACAATCTGGAGCCCCAATTCCACATCTTTGGTCCCATTCATTTGGGAGTCGCTTAATCTCGGCTAAATTAAAGATGATCAAAACCGTTTGCTGCACTTCATAACCTCTGTTCACCGACCATTGTTTCTTCCGCTCATCGCTAACACGATCAAATGAAAATAATATTTAAATGGACTATGAACTACAGTCCCCCTCCTAGGCCTTTCACTGCACAGCAACATTGACCCGGTCGCCAAAAATGGCCAATTTTTCCACCTTTTCAAAGCACTCATTGCAATCTTCATGCAAATGTCTTCTCAACCAAAGTAACACAATAACTTTAACACACAGAGAGAGCAGCCAAGGTATCTACTGTCTCTACGCTTCTACCTCATTTACTTTTACTTGATTATTCATCACAAACCACTGTCTACTGTGATCGCTACATGAAGGCATAATTCTGACTGCTTTAAGTCTAAGTCAATCGCTTACATGGCCAGTTCGACAAAGTTCTCCCCAATTATATGGGATGAGATGTGGCCTTGGCCTAATGAGGCCACGGACAAGTGAGGTGACAACGCTCAGGAGGCTGATTATAGTCGTGATAATGCTAGAGCCTTGCCTCTCGCTCTCTCGCCCTCTCTCTTCCTCCCTCTCACTCTCTCAACCGCACTCACGAAAATAAATTTTCTTAACCAGAAAGGGAAAGCCCACTCTTTTCTTCCTACAGTGGACAGACACTTTTTCCTTCTAGTTTAAATGTGCGCAGCACCACCCGCACCACACAAAACACTTACAGGGAGTTGAACGAGGATTTTTGTTCAACCTGACTCCCTGGCTTGTGTATGTGTGACAATGACAGTCACAACTTCTGAGACGAGGCTACAGTGGTTCACAAAAGTCTTGGGTTAAATACTTCCCTCTTTCTCCTCAGACATGTGCGCACATTTGCTAACTGCAAGAAAATAAGGCTTGGGAGTCAGTTTTACGCATCAGAGAGCCCTAACCTTCTTCAATTTTAGGCAGTGTCAAGAAAGGTGACTTTTGGAGGCAGAACCGCCTTCTATCCTAACGCGAACATTTTTCACTTATTCAACTCAAAAGTGCTGTATGCCGACACGTGGTTTCGCCCCGTCATTCATTAATATTTAAGACCAGCTCCTCCTTATCAGTATCGCCTCCTGTGTCCACTTACCTTACCACTACGCAGAACATTCAAGTTAGTTTCATAAACGGATCATTCATGCCATTGGTTACCCATAAGATCCAAAAAATGAACTGACATGCATCCAGCACGACGTATGCAAACGTTTGCCACTAAGTGATGAAAGAAACTTATGTCACGCATATGTGACGCCGATGCTGAATGTGTTAACTACCAAATCACGTTTTTAAAATAATGTTGGATGGCGGTATTTGTTATGACACTAGCTTAAGACAAATGATAACTTTAAAACGAATGAAACAAGGGTGTCATCATTAACAATTTCAAGACTATGCTCACTGAATTAGTTTAACACTATATTGCCAAACGGTAAGTGGAAAGAGGAGTGAATAGATGTCCCATGACCAAGATCTGGCAATCCTTTCGAACCGCAGAGGGCATTTTCAGAGAGGTTTTAGTTTTGGAGGTTATTTTTACTGCGATCCTCTCTCCCAACAGCCACAACTACGACTACTGCCACTGACTGTAGGAGTGTTTGGAGGGGCAAAATATTACTCACATTCCGCCACAAAATGAGAAGTCCAGAAGGTGTCCGAGTGTACAGTGGGCGCGCGCGCGCGCGCACAAACACAAACGCAGGCACGCACACTGGGGACATGAATAAGTGATGCCATGTGTTTATTCAACCAGAGTGGGCCTCACGAAAGCACTCTCGTACCCAAAACGCCTTTTTTGCTCAAAACACCTTTCTCCACCTTTATCGACATAACCTCGCCTAGCAATTAGGGCTACTGAAGCCATCATAGAATCACCTAAGAGTAGAAAAGGCGGCAAAACACGTCACTTGGAGGCGCGTGTGTTAAGTACAGATGCCACCATTTGAATGAATCGTTCTAAGAATATAGTTCATAAAAAATGTCTCCAAAAATTTATTAATTTGTTCGTTTGATTTTAGGATTTAGATTTCATTTTTTTCCTTCTGGAAATATTAATTTATTCCCATACCCAAGATTTTGTTTGGTAAGAACGGTATTGTTAAGCGAATAATTCGTAAGAAACATAAACCATTTGGATGAGCAAGTATTTTCTGACGGTGCCAATTGCTGAAACCCGAAGATGTCATGACTTTACTGGTAATGCCAATCACTATGCACGTGCATCGGCAAAAGAGACAATTTATGAGGGAATGACAATGAACAGACTTGATTCTGCAGCTCTCCAACACTCTTAAATAGATCGGTGTGTAGATTAAACGGCGATAAGGTTGTAAATGAGTGCGTTAGTTTTTGAGAGAAGTGTCATGCAGCAAGTGAATTAAATGCCATTGCGATTGGTGATAACAAAGGAAACTGTAAGATGAGAACACAAATGTTTTAATTCGGGTCCACCATTATCTTTATACTTCCTCCTGCAACCCGCAGAAAGTAAGGGGATTGTTGGCAGAATTGCAGAATTCGTTTGATCCACAAAGTCAAAAATTGTGTAAATTACAAAGCTACAGGAGTTTATTTCGGCATAAAGCTCCATTGGGTATCACATGGCACAACAATTATTTTCGAGTTCCTCCCATATGGAACAATCCATCTCAGTCTATTTGAACGAAAAAGATACTCTACTTATATACATAAGTAAAATGTTTTAAATTAAGTATAACGGAAAAAACATTAAATAAATACAGTTTTAATTTTGGCACAGACCTTTTATCTGAGCATGGACAAAGTACGCCGATCACACGAAAAAACACGACCCTAGCAGCACATGAAAAGGAGGAACTAAGTCATTGAGAAATGCTCAATTATTATTTGGCCGAGAAAAGGACTTTTAGATTCCGTTGAATAAAGAAACACACAGAGGATGACTTTGAGAATATTAGCTACATAAATATTCCGTACCTTTCAGCTAACACCTAATTATCCATTCAGTAATCACCCCTCCTTGGCAATGAACGGGAAGACTTGAGCATCGGTTAGATTTTTAGGCAACAAAACTACTCCTCCATTGCAAACACAACCTATTGGTAATGTTTGAATCGGTCTGAGAAAATGATAACGTTGTGCAGCAGATCCTCGTATCCTCGAACGATAAACCCTAATCTTGAAGGCGCAGTGGGAAAGCTGAACAGCTTACACGTCGCATATGGTATAGGGTACCGTAATGAGAACACATACCGCCGTGGCAAAGGGAGTTATGAGGAGAGGAAGGGCTGCATATTTCTAATTATGGTGTGTAAAACGTATGAAAACAATATTAATAGAATCTCTAGGCTTTTGCCGGAATGAAAAATTGTCCGCAGTTCAGGATATTTCCCTATCTAGGTCATTAAACATTTAGAATAGATTTGATACTGTACGTCAGTTACCACTTCATGATTTGTCGACATTATCAAATTATGCACTGTATTACATTGCAACTAAGAATACTAATTATTTTGGAGGATTAATCTTGACCTTAGTAAAAAGAACCAAAACTTTATAAATTTTTTGGCTCCCGACTCCGATATAAGTCCCCATGAACTTAGGGATTAGTAAAATAATAGTGTAAAGTGGCAAATGGAACCACTACTACTACTACTTACGGGTTGCTTTCACAGCCATTTACGTACGATCGTCAAAAATACACGCAAGAGAGACACATTTACCTTTCAGTGTAAATTTAAATTATATAAGAGTTATATCTCACAAGGGTAACCCTTCAAAGGGATTATCTTTTTTATATTTCCATGCATTTCCCGTTCAGTCGTTCCTTAAAATTGATTGGTCGCTTACGTTGTTTTAATTCGCGGAGGATAGTTGGTCTGACATACGCCCGTTTTCTACTGGTTCGTTGTATTGTGTCATCTTGTGTTGTATCCAGCTTAGCAGTTTGTCGTTAATTGGCTATTACTTTCTTGCAGTTTTAAAGGAATCTCCCGAAGACCAAATTCCTATGTGTACTCCCGCAAAACGGTATGCTTAATTTTATAAGTCATTCCTTTCGCAGGCTTAAAACTGGAGCTGATGCTCTCGACTTAAGTCATAAGACCGGCACGATGGATCTGCCTAAGGTAGATGCTCCAGTAAAAGTTTCTCAACATTCTATGTAGACCTCCTCCGACGTCATCGTTTTAAGTGAGGATGAGGATGAAAAAGTGACACCTTCAAGTTCTGATACCGAAAAAGAGAATGCCCCTTGTGGAACCAATGGGACAGATGTTAAATCATTGTTGATATCCTTGGAAAATGATCTTCGCCAAGAGGAAGCCACTCTTTTGCTCCTTCAAAAATTGCGTGAGAGTCAGAATGCGAATAACTCGTCTAGTTCTCGCCCAGCGTCTAAGGCCACACTCAATTCTTCTCAATCTTCGTCCTCTTTGAATAACAATGTCAACACGGGTAATCAGAAACCGGTGTCTAGTCAAAATTCCTCCCAAAGGCCCTCCTCGGCGGTTCAGCCAACAAAAAGTACGATTTTGTTCTGTGAGCACAGTTTCTTTAGCTCTGCCTCCTGCAATACACCAGCCGAGTTCCCCCATTTCTGCGCCTAAAGTTACGAAACAAGCGGCATTGCAGTCACTAGAACAGCTTTATGCCACCAAGAAGGCAGGATTGCGGAAGCAGCTGGAAAGAAATTTAGAAAAAGTCAGCCTACCACGACCGACAACTGGAACCGGGTTCTGTGAAATTGCTTTCATACCTAGTACGCTCACAACAGAATTCACATCCTTGTTGGGTCTTGAGGAGGTCGTTAAATCGATCCAGGTGATTTTTGTTACTCAAGGCATCATTACGTTTTGTGTAAAACTTAACTCTTGCTTTCTTGCGTAGGACTATGATCCATCAAGCAATGGAAAGCTATCAGAAACGCGCTGCAGTTTTAATCCTTTTTCGTGTGTAAAATGTGGCACCGATTTTACTCCTGTTTGGAAACGGGAGAAACCTGGCTCCACAAATGTGGTATGCGAAGCCTGTCTGACAGCGACTCAGAGGCTTACCCTAAAGAAAGAGTACGAAGAGGCTGTGCAAAAGGTTCTACAACAACACATTAATGCGGAACGTGACGTAGAACGGGAATATCAGGATATTGTGACCAACTCGGCCAAGTTGGATGCTTACATAAAGGAGCAGGAGAAAAAGCTATTGGCCACTCATCAAGCGCATCAGCTACAACTTGCTCAGCAACAAGCAGCTTACAGTCAGCGGTACAACAACAAGGTATTTACAACGTACTCTTAATGCGACTTGCTTCCATTCAGCCATTCGAATTTTGACTTGTGTCTAGGCTACTAAGGTGCTAACGTACCGTTTCCTAGGATTGATAACGTGTAATTTTTTGGCTTCATTGAGTTTGCTTGCTGACTTTATAGTCGGCAAGTTGTCATCTTGCATTCTGTGAGGCAAATGTCGGTCCCCATTGCAAACTGCTAACGGGCTATGGCGATTGTGCCTTTATCGCTTTTCATTTATCGATATTTCTAGTGGTTCTGTTGCCTAGCTGTTACCATCTTTGTCACTTTACGCAGTCATCGGTGAGCACACCGACCTCGGGTCTTCGTCAGTCCCCCTCCACAGTTGTTGGAGGTACCTCTGTGGCAGCTGCTGCTCATCAGCGCTCACGCGTTGCCGCCTCAGTGGCCAGCGGTGCCGCTAATGTAGCTGGCTCTGCGGCAGTTCCCAACTCCTCCACTCAGGCTACCGTCCAGGCAGCTGCAGTGGCACAAATAGCCCTCCAGCAGTACGCAAAGGTCATGTCCGGAGCCTCTACCACTTCTGGAACTTCACCCACTGCCACAGCTGCGCTGATGATGGCTGCAGTGGCCAACTCGCAGCAGCAACAGCAGGCAGTCGCGGCTGCTGCTTTGCAACAACAGCAACAACAGCGCCTGGCAGCCGCACAGCTCCTTTCTGGCCTTCAGGCGCATCAGCAGCAGCAGCAGCAGGCTGTTGCTGTTGCCTCTGCTCCATCGACCACTGATCACGCGGCTAATGCCCTCAGTCAAATTCAGACTCTCCTCATGAGCAATGCTCTCATCAGTGGAGGTAGGCATCAACCCAATTAATTTGAAATTGCTTCTTGCGTGCTGTGTGTTTGGTCCTCGTTACAGCTTGTAGCTGTGGCTCTCACTGCTTTCAATGTATTTGCATACCCAAGTCCTTTGCTCATGAATTTTTGATTTCGGCGACCTAGAATTTAAAACTTTCCGAATGTCTTCTGTGTAAGATCGTTAATTCTAAGTAGTGGTTGCTGAAGTTCAATCCTCCAAGTGGTTGTGTTTACTATTTCTGTTTTAAACTTCCTCTTTTCAACTGCCCCGGTATTTCCTGTGACGTGTCTGCGTAGTATGCATACCACTTCGTTCGAAGTCTCGAATTTGGCTGCTGTTGCAAAACTGGGCCTTAAGTATTGTTTGCATGTATTTTTTAAAGAAACCTCATAGGACGGTTTCGTGAGAATGAGGGAACGTAGAGGGGCATCGATTTGCTAGCCTAGTAACAGGGAAGGGCGAACTCTCATTGGTTGCTTGATTGATGACGGCATGTGCGTATGCGCAGCTTCAAGCCCAGACAATTTAGCGTTTTTGCGCTTGCCTACTTGTGTGTTTGTGCGTGTGCGTGAGTGCGTGAAGCTTGTAATGCTCCTGGCCATGTGTCCGAACTTCGGCACGCCCCCCCCCCCGTCATCCTCTCTGCCTTCCCCCCTTTAATAGACGCATGTTGCAGCCCGCATCGTTGTCAATTTTTCGCACCTCACGCCGGTTTGATCCATCTTCTAAGGCGCCTACGTGGTGTCAGGAGGATCTGACATCAGATGGCTAACTCAGTGTCGGTGTTTGGAGTTTCATAATGGTTGATTTTTAACCATCATGCATCCACCTTGATGGGTAGAACTAGTCTTCTGCATACAAGCTTACTTGTAAATTTGGTTCTAACTCGCTATGTTAGTTTTAATAGCCCAGATACAGACATTCGATGGTATGCTTTTTGTTGATTTTGTTTCACTTGAGGATTGTGGTTCATCCAGAAAGCTGTGTGAAGCTCTTCACACGGTTCCTTTGCTCAACATCTGTACATCAATGCAAAATTTGAGTACTAGTTCAATACTATGATCTGCTTGGAATGAAGGGACGTTTCAGCGAAGCTAGTGATGAATTCGGATTCTCTTAGCCCTCTTTCTCTGATGACAGAAATTTTGTTCAAATAGCTCTGCGATTGCTTAGTGTGATTTAATCTCGTTGATTTTCACTGCGTTTTGTGACCTTAGATCTTGACTGTAAAGAACATCACTTTGTTAGCTGTACTATTAATTGCGCTTTTCTGAACTTATTTACTAATTAGGCTTAGGATCGCACGTTTTTGTACAATGCACACTTGCCAAAAAGTAGGACTTCGATGTATCTTTTATTGGAAATTACTCATTAAATTTAAAGGAGTTATCCACTTTTTTAATCGTGTGGAAAGTGCATCTGGTATACGACCTAACGGAGTGGGTGATCACTATTTTTAAGTCGGATAGATGAGAGCTTCTCTTCGATAGCCTTTACGTTCATGCTCGCACATCTCTTTGCTAGCGAGCGGGGCCCAAAACACAAACTCGCGTGCACAGTTACTTCAGCAGGCGATGCAGTACCTCCTGCTGCAGCAGCAACAACAACAAGCCCAGCAGCAAGCTGCGGCCCAGGCAGCTGCGGCTCATGCCGCTCAGCAGAATGCTGTGCTCACGCACTTCCTCAGCCAGATCCAAAGCAATCCCTCCGCTTACTTCAACCTCATGCAGCTCTGGGCAGCTTCGGGTCTAGGTGGCGCTGCTGGCAGTGGGGGATCTGTTCCTGGGAAAAAGTAGTGCTCACCTCCCTGTACTCAAACCAAGTCCACCACCCTCTTTCAGTTGCCTTGTTCTCATATGCCACTGTCAACTCAAAAGGAAGCAGGGAAGGTAGCTACGCTCGCACGTACATCTCATTGTATCTATATGTCATCAATCTCTGTATACACAAACACCCTCTACACATCCACACACTCACGAGCGAAATTTGCAATATCTTTTTTCTCATTCCCCCCGCCCCTCGTCACACATGGTTTGCTGATTTTACTACAACTTGCGTGCGCATCTCCGTCGGACTCCTATTGTTTACACTATTCTATCCTTTTTCCTCCACCATTAAGTATATAAATATAAACTTAACACTGGGACGCCTCTTACTGTTCTTCAATAGCTCTACCAGCTTGACAGCATCTTTTGGGTTCGATCATAAATGCTGGACATCCACTCGAGCCTGTCCCAACCTCATTGTGGTGGGGATTTTGTCGCGAGGTGTGTTTATTGTTATTGGATGCAAGGGTTGCGCCCCTTCCGAATGACCTTGGTGTCCACCAATTTTTATGCTTTCCCTGTGAACTGCAATATGATGTGTGTTCTCCACATCGGTTGTTGCGCACTTTGATTGTGAGTCGGTTGGTCGTAGGGACAAGAGACTGAGGATGAGGCTTTGACAATTCTTTTTAGATCTAGTTAATTATCCGCTGGTCTTTTCTGTTGTGCATTGCCAACGACTTTTGGAGGTTGGAGGATCCGTTTTCATGGCGTGTGTGTCAAAGTGAACTTAATTTGATGACAAATGAGGCTCTGTCGGTGTATGCGCACAGAAGAGGTGGAAAAGGTCCAGCAATACAGTGGGCACATACGCATTTTTCTGAATCTGGTGTGCATTTTTTTGTGCTGTATACGAAGCGATGATTTATAGCTTTCTTCAGTTTATGCATATTCACCCCCAGGAGGCGCGGCAAAAAGTTACCTTCAATCTCCTCCTCCCCTCTTCTCTGTTGTTCCACCTTTACCCAATTCGCGCACAGTCACTTGAAGAGTTGCTATTCAAGGCTCCCTCCTGACAGGCTTACTGAAAGAGATAAATTTTGGTTAAGAAGTATTATTCACTCTGCAATGTCAACACAGCATACATCATTCGGGAAGAGCGGAGAGAGAGAGAGCACTACCATTTAAAGCACATTTTGCAGAAATCACAAGTTGACCAAGGGTGAGGATGTGTGCGTGGTCAACTTGGTAAAGATGTGTTAATCAAGTGGGATCGAATTCCGACATTGTTCGTCTGTAAACGTGCAGACTGGAAGGCTTGCCTTTGGGGAAGGTGTGCACATTCACTTACATCCGAGTTTGTCTTAAAAACCTCGTTCTTGTGGCTCCCACCCTGAAACACCACTGCAGTTTGCGTGAGCTTCTCAAAAAACGTCAGGCAGTAAGTGGGAGAAGCGAACCCTTGACAAGTGTACATAATCAGTTGATTACAGGATAACATTTCAATAAAAATGTATCTTTTACAAGTTTGCTGGCTGTGCAACTAAACAGTAGATGAAAGGACTCAGTAAAGCATAAGCAGTGAACCTAAAACACTCCTCTATAAGAGGGTAGTTTCATCAACCATTTCCTTCACTCCCAGCTCACGTCACACTCAACTCCGCCCGAAAGAAACGACGATTGCAGTGTTCGCTGTGCGGTTATTTCCAGGGCACCGTCACATCTTATTCAAGGTCCTCGAATCATTCTACATGTTAACTCTGGCCCTTGTCCGCCTTTCGGGGCCACACAGTGCGCGTTTTGAGACTGTTGTGTGACGAAGCCATAGCGGAGGTCGGTTTTCCTATATATCCGGTGTTGTTAAAACCACGTAATCGGACCTATCAAGGGATATAAATAAAAACAAAGGAAATGGATGCAGTCTTTTGCTCGCATTACTTCGAGTGTCAGGTGAGTTGAAGGCCTCAGGCATCAAAGTCTGTGTCCAGCGTAACAACAGCTAGTTTCAGATGCTCACACCTACTTACTTGGGTTCTACAAGATGGTTTAAGAATGTGGTGAATGAAAGCGCTAATGGCAACACCAATCAGCTACTTACTGATCTCAAAACATATCAGTTACAGTTTGCTTGACTTGTACTTTTGCAGGATGCCTTGACCAGTCAGAACACGTCCGTCGCACCAACTATTGTAACACTACAAATGTTAACACTTTCAGATTAAATGGCTTTACACAGACTTAAAATACTAAACAAGGTGAAATGAAACAGACATCGTCCAGTACTAAAGGAAACAATAATCAGAGTTTGATTGTCACTTTGTGGCTGTTACTCATCCACGTCAAGGTGTTTCGCATCAATTTAAATGACACTGACTATGCAAACTGCCACGGTACAAATGAGTCGACAATTTTATGTTTGTCAAGTTGTTGACATGCTCACCTGCCTTATACTGGATGTGTGTGTGTCTGTGCTTGAGTATCACGTAATCACAGCCTTAGCCAGGAGACCTGTCAGCCACACAAAGCAACGCAACAGAGTTTCCTCCTCCTCCTCTTTCTCCCTCCCCTCCTAACCCCGCCTTGTAGGTGAGTCATCGCGTGGATTTAGACCTATCGCCTTTCTCTCCTCTACTCTGTTCTCTTTCTCTTCTCTTCTCTGCTCCAGATTGTGGATGGTGTGCAGACCGCAACCAGTTCAGGCTCTGCACTCAGCACTCCAGTAAAAATGATTGAAATGATGTGGACGACTTAACGAAACACCTAAACTCACACATTCAAGAAGTTGCAATTCGCAACATCTATCAAACACTTGTTTTACTTCAAATTAAGTTATAAGAGCTAGATGGTGACCTCATCTTGACATCAGGACTACCATCGATTGTGCTTAGTGTTGTTGTTGTTGTTGTTGTGCCTAGGCGCATGTATCACACTGAGCCCCTGCAAAAAATGTCATCTCAACTCGATGTGCCACCGGTGTTTACAAAATTCGAGGCATTCTGTCATTTCATTCGCTGTTGCTAGTGGCGATCAGCGGGTGAATGTTGTTTCGATGTCAATAGAGTCTAAAATCAACTGACAACAGACAGAAAGCAAAGCACATGTTTTTTTCTCCGCGATTAGGCGATAGGCCCCAACAGTCTAAGTCGTACCGGTTAACTTCGAGTAAGGCAATAAGAGGAGGCCCAACTCGAACTGCCCATGTTGGTACACACTACCACTTCCGCATCCACGATGCTCCATCAAGACGAAGAATGAAAGGACTTGTAATCGAACAGAAAGTCAATTGATAAGCCTGGAGTGATGATACTTTTGCCAATCAGATGCCAGACGACATCATTAACTTGGCATTATTACGTTTTGTCACGAAGGTCTCTAATGTTATTGCTTCACTTTACGAGCCGGTGGTTTACGTCCAACCATGGTTTGTTTTGATGGCAAGCGAAAGCATTCTACTTTCATGCTTTCCAAGCCAACCCTTAATTTACTGCTCATGGGGGTTCAACTGAAATTGGCAAAGGAAGTGAACTCAGAAAGAGGCTTTGTTAAAGATCAAAAGTGGAGTTGTTGGCAAATCAGATTGGTGTGGAGGCACTGGGAGATAGCTATAAATCACGTGACAAATAAACAACTCACTTGCACGCCTCTGAATTCATTGAGATGTCTTCTTGATCCATAGAAGTGAAGCTTCATTCAGTCAAGGTAAATTTTGCCGAGAAATGCATTCCTTTGGGTTCGATTACTGTCTGTGAAGGAAAGCTGATACAACAGTAAGCACACTGGCTGTACATGACTTTCATGTGACAAATGCTTTGAAAATAAGGAACATCACGTGGAGTTCAGACAGCATTATCCTGAAATCCATTTTGTCTTTGAAATTGTCGCAGGCTGTGAAGTACATATAACTTCCTTTCAGTCAAAATTAATGTCTTGTGACAAGTCAAAACTTACATGTCCACTTATTTTTCTTCCTGGCTTGTCGATTCCTAAACCACAAATGTGGCTACCCATGCCATTGCAATATGCATAGAGCTATGAAAGTGACCTTATTCACCAAAATTGCGCACTACTCCTGCACTACCCACTAATTAAATCCTTTCTGTAATTAAGGAGAGATTTGCTTTAATTTCTGCCATAATCAGGTCTCACCTTTTCCCACTACTAATACTTCCAACATCCCACCTGCTAGACACCGTTCGATAATAAATTATTTTCATGTTGGAACCACCTCCTCCTGCCTGGGTCATATCATGCACATGTGAAGGTCTCTACCGATCCTCCCGTCCCACCTACACCCGCTCATCTAGCCAATAAACGGTGGGCTCGATTGCCGCACCCTCACCCTACCGGACTGTTCATCTACCTCGTATGCTGCATTACCAGGACTGAGAGAAGTAGCAAGGTGGCACGTGCGTATACTGCATTGCTATAGCGACAGTGGGTTGTGGTAGCCACGACGAGGTTGAAACCGAAAGAGGTCTGCGTCAGTGACGCAGTTGTTGTGATTTTATCGATCGACCCTGTGCGCGCGCATGCGTGTACGTGCGCGTGCGCACCATAATTAGTCGAGGATAGACACATGCCTGCACATACATACATACATACACACACATGCTTGTGCATTTTAGTTCACTTTTTTCTCGCCACCGCCCCCTGATTGGACATCTTGGTGGATGGGACGCTCCCAATGGTTCCTAACGCCTGATCAATAATTCCCCAAAAGGTCGCCTCTCACCCAAAAATCAACAAATGCGGATGATCTGTGGCATCACTTAACTGAATATGATCCTTTACTACCATTGAATAGTATCAACTCCATCACCTAATATCCCATAGTGGAGCTTGTCTGATCATTTATCATATCAGAGAGAGAAAGGAGGAGGGACCCGAGAAAAGCCGTGGTTTCTAGCCTTTGAAGGATTTTGTTGAGCTAAGGAGCAAATAGTGTCGGTGTAGCTTGAATGACTCTCTCGCCTTAACTTCACCTCGTAACGCAAGTTTGGGTGAGCCTGCAGTCGGAGCTCTCTCATGGG